TTCTTGACAAGAAGGTTGAAATATTGACGTAATTCAAGCAGTTTTGTAAATTTTGTAAAATAATTTTATAAACTTTTACAAAATAATAAGAGACGCCCTTGAGTTGAGTAAGTCTACGAAAATTTGGAAGCTAATTTTGTGTAGAAATTTTTGTACAAGTTTGAAAGTTTACGGAATTTACGGATTTTATAAGGTTATTAAGGACTACGTGAATTTCCTCATTATTTGTGGAATTGTTTTGGATTGTTGGTTAATGGGGAGTTAAAAATGTTGAAACTTATGAGAAAGATTTTTATTGGAGGAATATTTTTCAAAAACAAATTTGTAAAGACGAACTTGTCGAAATATAAATAAAATGAACCTTATAAAATTTTATAGAGTTGATAATTTGAGTTTTGTAGAATTGATTTTGTAGAAGTTTAAAGTCCTTCAAAGAAAATGAATATAATTTCTGAATGAAAAGTGCACAAGATCAATAAAATCAGTAACATCCGCCCATACATCTGGATCGTCCGTGTATTTCAGAATGGTGTGCTTGTCATTTCCAGAGTTTGTCGTATCACTGATATTGTCCCAGTGCGTTTATTTATTAGAAACATTATTAAGCGAAGAATTTGTCCGTCTGTCTGTCTGTCCGTCAGCAAGATCACACGAGATCGGTTTTGCGGCATTATACGTATTTATGACCACGGGGGAGGATCCTACCATTTTGGGGTCAATCGGACCACCCCCCTCGAGGTCAGAGGGTGTGGTCAAATAATTTTTGTGGGATTATAGTTACTGGTTTTACCCTATTATTGCTAAATTTAGTTGCTATACGGTTTATTTTAAATCTTCGGACAGACATCAATTTATTGGCCTACCAATTTTTTAGATTCTAAAATTGCGTTTTTAAAAAAATAAATTTGTATAAGTTTAAAGTCCTTTAAAGAAAAGAAATACAATTTCTGGATGAAAGTGGAGTAGGTGCGTAAAGGTTGGGTTTGTTCATTTGAAATTATTCGGAGAAATTAGAATGTCGTAAATTTTGGCAAGTTCATTTATACTCGTATAATGCATGTATTTTTGCTATTTTTCATCACGCATTTCCTACGATTTACTTAATTTTCCGGCCTTAGTTGCAAAGGACGGAATCTGTTATGGTGATCGTTTTGGGTGGATTTATCTCCCTTACAAATTACTTCACCACAGAAATTAAGGGCAATTTTTGGGTGGTGAATAATTACCAATTTCTGAAGGGTTTCCAAGCAAAATATGCTGGTTGTGATGCAAGTATTTTACAGTGTCATGTCGTTACGCAGAAAAATTGATGCAATATATTAATACTGGTGTATAAGCCCGTCTGCCGCCGGGCGAGAGCTTATTTGATTTTCATGATAATGAGTGGCACAGTGCATAATTCCACCGGATCAATTTTTAATTGTATCAATCAATATCATAAGCTATATATGGAATGGGAAATGTTTGTTGGCATGAGAAATGAAGATAAATGTTTCGCAACGGAAGCGAAAGTGGCTTCCACTTCACTTTAACTTCACTTTAAAGTGGCCAACCCTGCATACCCGTGACTGACTTGCACTTCACTTTTAAGTAAAGTGAAGTTAGATATTGGGTGAAGTCGCTTTGGTTCGACCATGCACTACATAAGTGGCTGCGGAAGCCGTGGGGACATCTGGGGACATTTACATTGCAGGATAGGGGAGGGAGGGGTTTGTATAACATGGACAGGTGATAGGGACATCGAATAATCTTGGGGACATTGTCCCTCTGTGCGCTAAGTACAGAGTCGATGAGTTGTGTCAAGTCAGCACTGGTGCTCTAATAAGTTGTGCGCACACGGGGACGTGCATGTGCGGCCAGATAACATCGATTCTGTCTCTGCGACCCAAAATAACCTAACCGAAGTCTCTGTCTGCCATATCAGTGTATCTAGTGCAAGTTCAGTTCGAACCAAAGAGACTTCACCCAACATCTGATGGCAGTTTTCTGGGGGTGGTTGTCTGATTGTAATTAAGGTGGATTAATTACTGCAGCTATATGTCCACAATAACCAAGGGTTCCTGCGCCATTTTTGCAGAGACGGTACCATCCTACACTTGCTTCCTGTCTGAGTCCCCATGGATGAATTTAATCCACACGATGTGATAACGACGTTTGCTAAATCGAGATTACAACTTCATTCTTATCAAATCCGACAAGTCCTTATGGATGAAGAATTCACAACCAAACCCAGGTGTCGCATGGTGACTATTTTTTGGACGCTAAAAAAGCCCGATCCGATTTATACTGATCGGGCCAAGAATAACCCGAAAAAATGGGCCCCCTATTCAACTCTGGCTATTCCTTTCACAATGCTTGAGTAAACTTAGAGTGGCCATGGACACTTCTAGTTACATCTCATAATCTGAGTTGATGAGACACCAATAATAAAAACTTCGTCCAGTTTAAAGATTTCATCCTCCAGATGCTCTTTGCATAAAACGAAATCATTTATTAAGAGTCCGGTTTTTAGTAAATAAAGCGTTGCGGAAAGGGGTGAAGCGACACGGTCACACGGTCATGGCACATCACAACCATGCAGAAAATCCCCGTCCAAAACTACGTCAAACAAAACAATCAAGACAAAAAATTCGACATTTTCGACTTCCGTTCTGGCGTCGTTTACACGGTCACACGGTCATGGCACGTCAAAACTATATCAATTTCTGAGATCCCCCAAAAAACTACGTCTAGAACGGCCGAAACAAAAAATTCGATATATTTGACCATTTATCTCACCACCGTGGCGCCATGACCTTATGACCTACAACGCCCATCTTCGAAATCATCCGTACTTGAAAAATTAGAAACACGTTGGCGAAAACTGCATGTCGAAATTCGAATCTGTTCTAAAGGTATCGTGGATACGGACAGACCGACAGACATGACATTTTCATAAAGGGATGCCATCTTAAAAGGCCCCTGCTTGAAGCAAGTTTTTTTACGTCATCAAATTGTGACATGGTTACCTTAATTTAATACTTTTGATCAAAGTGACGACGATTTTCATTATTTTTTGTGCATTTACGCATGTAGCACCCGAACCAGGCATGCCTCTTTCACCAAACTTTGCTTAAATATGCTCACTTATATAATAAGTAAGTGTACAAAGTTTGAAGAAAATCGTTGGAGGTCTTCAACGATTTTATCCTAGCATGATTTTAGTACATGCATTTCTCCCATTTAAATGCATGTAAAAAACTCCCACCACTAAAATAATTAATACGGGAGTTCAAGGCATGCCTCTTTCATGAAATTCACGGGGATGACACTTCGATACTTGTATCACAACATATAAAAAATTTAGCAAAATCGTTGGAGGTCTTCATTATTTTTATGACCCACCCAAAGAGAGGGGCTAAACCCGATTTAATCCTTTGTGCAAATTCATTATCTATGATAAAATTTATTACCATTTTTTTTACTATTTCTTTCAAACAAAAGAAATTGCTTATTCACGCAGCTCGTAGCATATGCACATCGTTGGTGGGTGGGTGGGACTGTAATCGATATGGGTTTCATTTCATGACTAAATTTACATACGTACAAATACGCAGAAATAGTTTTATGATTTTGTAAAATTTTGTAAGTATACGGAATTTACAATGTTACCAAGGAACCCGTGAATTGCCTCAGTGCTTGCAAAAAGTGTGCAAATATGCGTATGTAAATATTTTTTGCCAAACATTATTTAAGTAATTTTCCCAATTGTAGTTAAGTTTTTTTACTCTCATTTTCTTCCATCTTTTGAGCACCTCATTAAGCAGAGCTATATGTAATTGGAATCAGGTCGGTAAAAGAGTTTCATTTCGGACAATCACCTTTTTCGCACTTGATTTATACGTAAGTAATAAGCAGATAAGTATTCATGTGAAAATTGCACATGACACAATGGGTGGGACAATTAAGGATCGTGCAGAATCGGGTGTCGATCAGTTTTTTTAACGGTCATGTCAAAAAGTAAACGTAGGACTTATCACCAAAATCGTCAAAATCGGCACCTTTGTAATGTAATAGTTTCGCGACTCTGGGAATTTATTTTAAAATTCTGGACGACAAATCTGTGGTCAGATTGATAGAATATTCTGTATGATTATAGTTTCGATGAGTTCCAATTTTTCTGAAGACTTCTTAACCTTGAGATCTCCTCCTTGAAAAAATGTCAAAATCTGAAGTGTATTTTTTAAGATTAACCAACTCTACATACTTGTTGTCCAAAAATTTTAAAATAAATTCCCAGAGCCGAGAAAAGATTAAAAATGTGCTAATTATATTAACAATTTTGACAATCCTTAGAATTTTTCAAAACTTGGAAATGACCTACTCTACAAATTTGTCTTCCAGAAATTTAAAATAAATTCCCAGAGCAGAGAAATGAATAAAAAGGTGCCACTGATTTTGACGATGAGTCCTACCTTAAAATCCCATCTGCACAGCCCCCTCCTTCAACAATCTATTATTCACTTCTTCACCGAGAGAGTAAACAAATTCATACCGTGCAAGAAAAAAAATCACAATATTTAAGACGCTTACTTATTTGCACCCTTGCAAAAAAATGGGCTAATCACTTGCTCACCACTCGCCAAAAACATGCCAATTATATGCAAATGAAGAAAAATCTAAATCCGAATTGAATCGGAATGATGTAGATTTTGATTTTCTTTTCAATCAAAATCTAGTAGCGACCTAAATCTTGTCGTCAAAATTTAAATTACACTTAATTATTTCTTTCTTCGTAAAAATTCATGAGGAATGAATGCACACTTAATTTTTTCGCAGTGTGAATGCGAATTTCTCGGTAAATGAATGAATTAAAATCTTTGATTTCTTTTATTCAATAGGTAAAAAAATCTGCAATTAATATTGCAATTCATACCGTAAAATAAATTATTATTTTTCTTAAAACACTACGCAACAAGTAAAAAATTAACAAAAAATAGGTAACAAAAATAAATAAATACTTTTTCGTTAGTGTCAATTCTTGGTAAATTTTTGGTCGTTTTTTGGTAAATTTTTCGAAAGTGAGACCGGAAATGAAGAAGTTATGCATACGTAAAAATGTGTCAAGCTCTGTCTTTTTATGGCGTCGGGTCACTAGGAATTTGTCATTTTTTTGGCGGTGTCGTAAAGTCGTCATCGTCACATTTTTTGTCTTTTCGTCATTTGGTTAAGCGTCGTCATTTCGTCATTTTGTCGTCATTGTCGTCATAATTATTTATGTAAATGAGGTCAAAAAGTCCAGTCTTTGTTTGTTGAGTTTGTGTCAGGTGGGTCATTTTTGTTGTAAATATTATTTTTGGCGGAGGTTTTTGCTAAATATTTTTAGTTTTTGGCAAAGGTTTGACAAACTTGACGATGTGTTTTTTAGTTGAAGAGACAGAAGACCTGGCTTCCGAGGTGGTGGTCGTGGTGGGGTCAGTGTCAACCTGATTTTTAGCCGAGATGGCGTCGGGACCGATACCGTTTCGGATTTTGGCAATGATATGGTTCAAATCGGGGGGAAGTTTGGTTAAGAGTTCGTCGAGAGAGTCGGATATTATGGATTTTATGGATTTTCCAGCTGCAGCGGATTCCAAGAGGTGACGACCGGCTGGAGGAAAAAAAAATAACAATTTGTTTATCGACTCTTCGGGAATTAATTTTTTTCGAAATGCGGGGAACCCGTGAAAAGGGGGGACCTTGAAATAAAAATTTGAGAAATTCTGGTTTTTCACGTTTCGTTTCTCCTAAATATGCCAGCTTCTAATGGCTTTTTTTCGCATATTTTTTGCAAAGCACATTTGCGAAATATGTAGCTAATAAAATAAAATAGCCCGAGTCGGAGCTGATGTAAAAATGTGTTGTGTGTCGCCTTATTATTCACACGACACCCTGACTCGGGCTTTTTGAACACAAATTGGAAATTTTAACTGATTCGAAATTTGTATACGAAGATACTTACTTGTAATTACGGGAATCGGGATAAGAAGCAGTAGAAGAAGGGGGAGGAGAAGTAGGGCTGCCTTAAAAAGGAGGAGGGGCAAAAGGACCGGAAGTAGAATGGGAAGAAGGGGAATTAGTCCCAATTTCTTGAGGAGTAAGAGACCCTTGAGTAACCCCAATAGGCCACCAAGACCCTGAAATTCAAAAATGTGTATTAATTTTGCCATAAACATGCATTTATGCTTAACTTGCGCCATTGTTATAGCTCAACTATGGCGCAAATTAGACCAGCTTGAATAAATTACCTTCAACCCTTTCAATCCCTTCAGTCCCAAGAGTCCAATTAATTCCTTGTCGAATCCGAAGTCATCTTCCTCTTCGCCACCGCCCCATCCCCCGCCGCCGCCCCCCCAACCACCCCCACCACCTCCACCTCCGCCCCACCCACCACCACCACCCCCATACCCGCTCTGAAAAGAGATAAAAAAGGTCAAACTTTGCCTAGTAAATTCAAAAATAAGTTGGGAGCTAAATTATTTAGCTGCCAAAATGCCGAAAATTTGCAAGAAATCAAAAACTGCTAATTGGAACGGTCAAATTTGACTTGAAATTTTGTTACCATTGTGGGTAATAAATCCTTACCACAAAGTCACATATTTTATTACACTCTTAGAAATCCAGTAAAAAATAATAATACGAAGTCGTATTCATGCATGACTCTACCAAAGTGGTTTTAATAAGTAATACCGTCGATTAATAGCTCAGTTCAGTATTAACGCTTTACCTTATCGGCAGTAAATTTGCACGGACCGGCATAATTTTAATACCAAGCCGTAGAACTTTAATACCGAGAAATCACTACCTGCTGGACAATACCAGATTTCTAATGTGTGCAAGAAATCAAAAACTACGAATCCGAAAGGGTCAAATTTGAATTTCACTAAAATTTTTGTTACCACTGTGGGTAACAAACCCCTACCACCTTTTTAAATTTTGTTACCAACTTATTTCGACCGTAGAAATCATGAAAATTAACTCACCATGCTGGGATAAATTTGATACTTGAACGTTTCCTGGTGTCCACCACCCCCACCGACGCCGTACGAATCGGAGGGGACGCCATAACTGGACCCACCGTACCCACCTCCACCACCGCTAACGTCGCCGCGAGGTTCGAAAACCACGGCGGATGAGGTGGACGGCAAGGAAGATGAAGACGCGGATGAGGAGGACTTGTGATTTTGTTGTTTAGAATAGGTCGCTGAATGCGCGAGGCTGACGCAAGAAGCGAGCAGCGCCAAGTGACAGATTGGACGGAGGAGGAGGAGGAATCGTGCCATGGTTTAACTACATAAAAAAAATTGTCAAATTTTCGCCTCAGTTTTCTAGGGAAGTTTCAATTTTAATAAAAAAATATATCTCAATTTTCCCACTTTCGAAAAAAACTACGAGAAAAATCAGTGTCATTTTTACCATTAAAAATCAAGCAGTAAAATAAAAACTTGTCTCAATTTTATATCCTAAGAAATCATTCTACGACAAAAATCAGTCTCAAATTTCCTAAAAAAAAGAACTGAAACAAATCCGTCCCAAATTTCCTGCTGAACCCGTCTTCAAATTTCTCCTAGTAAAAAAAATCCTCCCAAATTAAACTAGTCTCAATTTTACCCCCTGACAAACAATTCTTTCACAAAAATCAGTCTCAAATTTCCCAAAAAAGTGAAGCAAATCCGTTTCAAAACAAAAATTAAACTAGTCTCAATTTCCCCTAAAAAACTACCATAAAACCACTCTCAATATTCCCTAAAAACTCTTACCTTTTACTCCGTGAAATCGAAATCGTCTCGTCGTCGTCCCGTCTCACTCTCCCCACAAAAAAGTAGAAGAGTGTCTCTACTTCTTAACTTATCACTACGTTATTATCCCTGATAACCCGTGTTATCTCTTGGTCAACTGTAGACTGGTAGCCGTTGCCCGAGTGGGACACCTTATTTATAGCGACGGCAAAGTAAAAGTTGTTCATTTTGCGGTGACCCACTCCTCGCGACGATATTATTATTAGGCATTTTTTTCATGGTTGGCACCCGATGCATCGTGCGGACCCTGCGGAAAGGATGGGGCCAAATTTTTAATCAGGAGAAATTTGAAATTTTGACCTGGACAAAAAATTTTCAAAATATTTTTTTGCGAAAAATTTGTGCAAAAAAATCTGCGACATAATTTCTGCCCGGGGTTCGTTTGGTACGTATTCTCGGATGGTCGTCTTGACTGGGTCTCTATTATTGTGTTTGCATTGTTATCCCGTCCCTTTGTAAACTGGGGGCATCAATCATTCAAAAAATTATTGTGAATCGTATGGTTTAAAAAATGGGCGACGTTTTCTCCACCTTGGTCAATGCAGTTAGGGAGCTATGCTGAATTGCACATTGTAAAAATCCATTAACCTACCTACCTACTGCACAGGATAAAAAAGTAGGTGGGTAAAGTTGTGTAAAATATGTTTATACCCGGGGGATGTGGGAAATTAAGGAGGAGTAATTATGGTATTTTGTATTTTGAGTTATTATTAAGTTACCAATTCACGCAGGACCTGGTAACTTTGTAAAATCTGTAAAATCTAAAATAAAATTATATGTAATTGTAATTTCTAAAATAAATTTTCAAAATTTTACAAAATTAAGAGACGCCCTTGATCTGAGGAAGTTTTCAAAAATTTGGGAGCTAATTTTCCTTCGAAATATTTACAAAAGTTTGTAAGTTTACGGAATTTACGAGTTTTGCAAAGTTACCGATTTACCAAAGACTGCGTGAATTACCTCATTATTTTTAGAATTTTGTTGACTTGTTGGTTTAATGGGGGGGTTAAATATTTGGAAAATTATGAGAAAGAATGATTTTTATTTGGGAAAAATTTTTCATAATTATTTTAAGGTGAACTAGTGAAAATATTAAATAAAATGAGATTCATAAAATTTTGTAGATTTTAGAATTAACTTTTTGTAAATTTGTAAGGTTTAAAGTCCTTAAAAGAAAATAAACATAATTTCTGGACTAAATACGTATAAAGATTCGAGTTCAATGTCCAAGAATGCTAAATTGAAGTATTTTTATTTATTTGAAATCATCAGAGAAATTAGAAGGTATCAAATTCCTCTATACTCCGTGATAAATTTCATAGTGCATGCATTTTTCCTCATGGCTTTTTTTATTTTCCATGATGCATTTCATACAGATTTATTTCTCCTGTACGAATTTGTAACTTGCAAATTTTAGCACAAATTTATTTTCAATTTTGTATTATTAATCTTTTCTGATTTTGTTTTCAATAGAAATTGCTTATTCAGGTAACACGAATATTCGTTTCATAACGAATCCTAAGTTTACGTGCATGTAGTACTTACTCCGTGATAAATTTCATAATGCATGCATTTTTGCCCATGATTATTTTTTTGTTTTTTATACTGATTTTTACAAATTTAAAAATTAAAAATTTTTTTTTCCACGATTAAATTTGCTATACATTTTTTTCTTGTTTTTTTTTAAATAAAATGAATTGCTCATGAAATTTTTTTATTTTTCATGAAACATTCTCTACTAATCAATTTTTCCGAGTAATTTGTATTCGTTGTAAATTTTCAAATATTTATTTTCCATGATAAAATTTCTTACCATTTTTTTTCTTATAAAAGAAATTGCTTACTCACGCTGCCCGTAGCATATGCGGATTTCGTTGGTGGGCGTAATATATACGGGTCTCATTTCATCATGACTAAATTTACCTACTCGCATTTCTCAGGGAGATTTTTATTTAGCGAGAAGCATCATCATTGAAAAAGTGACAACAATGCAATCTTGTTTTTTCTTCTTCTTGGCAAAAAATGAAAGGGATATGTATTTAAACGAAAAAAGAGGATATTAGCCTCAAATCCAAAATTATCCCTTTCATTGAATCTTCTTCTTCTTCTTCACTAATAATAATACCGTGAGATGACATGATGATGATGATGATCATGGTGATGACAGAAATTAGTGTGTTTTTTTTCGCGTATTCATTAGAATATTGGTGAAAAAAGAGGAGATGAAACGAAACCAGCAATTCTTTTGTTACTGGTTTTGTTGTATTTAATTTTGTGCAGGTCACTTTGCGGAGGTAGGTAAGGTAGCAGGTATGGATGGAGGGATCATTAAGGGATTGAAATTATGATGAGATGATGATGATGGAAATATGATATTTTTGGTAATAGGTATAGGTGAAGGATGAAAATAGGGTGGTAGTGACAGTGACACTGAAATTTTGGTGGGGTATGTGCGGGAAGAATGTGGGAATTTTTTTGGGGAGAGGGTCACGTGAAGACTGCTGTTTTTGGATGGAAAAATCACAATTTTAAAGGAAAAATTGAGCTATTTTTAGGAAGTTTGAATTTTTATGAACTTAAAATCATGCTGAAACAGAAATTTGGTTTCCAAATTTTCCAAAAATATTTTTTGCTAATTTACGAAGAAGTAGTACATATAGCAGAATTTCGTAAAATTTCTGATTTACTATTGAAATTTACTATGAATTACCATTAAATTTACAGAATTGCAAAAATTGTTGATGTTTGTATAAATTTTTAAATTTTTAAATTTTAAATTTTTGTATAAATTTAATGCCAAATTTGTGCAAATTTATTTTCCATGAAGAATATATCCATAAAGGTCGAATGTTGTTCGGTTGAATTAGTGTGAAACTGAGTTCCTAAAAAAATAAGTTTCTCAGAAATTTTGACTAAATATAAATACAGGTCCTTTATTTCTGCACAGCCCCTTTACAAAAAAAATCTATCCAAAGAAGAAAGTAAATCAAAGTGCGAAAATGAAAATCAAATCCGAAATTATTTTCGGATCTTCTCTTCTCCTTATTCAGTCAAAAAGATTATCTTTCTGAATGAAAGGTTGGCAAAGTTTAATTAAAAAAAGAAGGTCATCAATCCGTCCGTCGTCTTCTTCTTTTGGAGAAGATGCACAAATTACTCGGGAGGATAAGTAAATTGGCTGCATTATTTGTTCAAAGGATGGATTAATATTTAACAATAAGTAAATAAATGGTGGTAAACTGTGCCTGGTTAGTTTGTGGCCTGGTCTGGCCTTATTATTTGCATAAATGCAGCGGATGCAGGTATGTGATTGACGTGTGTATGCAGTATTGATGACGGATAATTACACTGATCAGTTTCATTACGTGGGGAGGGATGAGAAAAAATTATTAATAGATGCGAAGTCGATATATGGATGTTAGTAATTTGGTAATGTATTCATGTAAGGATGAAAGAATAATGAACATGGTGCATTAATAATGCAATTCACGCAGGGCTTGGTAACTTTGTAAAATTCATAAACTTACACAAATTTTTACAAAATTTTACAAATATTTCGG